GGCCATACATACAAAATTATTTATTTATATGTATATATGTATGTTTGTATATGTATATATGTTTTTTGATATTTAAGTGTATATATATTTTTATTTCATTTACTTTACTTTTTTATTACCGCTTTTATTTAGTCTGTGTGATTCTTTATTGTTGTTGCCACAACTAGTGTTACTTTGTTTGTCTGCATGTTTTTGTTATTGTTTACAATAAGATACAACTTCAGCTTCTCATATTAGTTTACTGGTATCCTTATCATTGTTTACCTTGTTGCTTTGATATACTTCACTTGTGAAAAGTTTTGTTTCCGTTTCCTACTGATGCTGTCCTTTTCCTACATACAAGTATAATATTAGGTGAATAGCTTGATAAGAAGTCAAAGTTTAGATATTTGGAGGTACTAAATATATACTTATCAAAATGAAACATTGTTGTATTGTCAGTAAAAATACTTTAAAAAGTATTGAGAGTTAGTCGAGTTGACTGCAGTGTTGCAAATAATGCATTAAAAAAATAATTGAATTAACATTTTGATTAATTTTTTTTTTATTTTGTATTCCCTTATACGGGATTAAAAATAAAAACCTAATTAAAAATTTATTTATAATTTTTTTAAAATTATATTTATTTATTGTTTTTAATCCCAAAAACCGGATTAAGAAATAAAAAATTAAAAATTAAAAAAAAATTTGCTTTAGAATTCACATTTTTTCGCGATCATTCAAATTAAAAATTAAGATTTTGAATTTTTAAATTAAAATTTAATTTTTAATCCCAAATTTTTGTATTAAAACGTTCGCAATCCTGGTTGAGTGTCCTTGGTTCTGGAACGGATACATCACTGTTGTGGCTACAGAAAGGAGAAATATTCTTGAGTACCGGTTGAGCAATCAAATCTGATACTTTATCTGTTTTCATCCGATTGGGAAAGATTGTTTTTGGAGAAGTCCTTCATATCTGTAACATTTTCGGCTTAGTTTGATAAAACTTTGACTCATCTGACCTAAGCCCACGAAAATTACACTTTTCTTACAATCATAAGTCGTTCTTTATAAAATTCCATATCAATGTAAACGAAAAGCTTTGTTGAATATTGAAAATTCAATATGGTTGCCAATTTATGTCAATGGTTTTATGGTGTAGTTAAGAAAAAATCCATAATCCTTTCATTAAATTGACATTATTTAGCATAATCAGAATTATCTGATTTGTGATGTGAAATATGCACGCTTTTGTTCGATAACTTGTTGTCACCTTGAAGGTAACTGCTCCCAATCAAGCTTCCGGAGCTTCTGGCGAGTAACTATCGATGCGTGTGGCTTGGCGAGGGTCCATGGAGTACAATTTCTTTTATATATACTGGGCGATTGCCCCTTTCAGACGGTCCAATTATTGAGAGCACAGGCTCGAATTAATAGTTTGGCCGTAAGGAGTAGGTCATAGTAGATAACTCCCTGTCAATTCCACCAAACAAATAGCAAAACTTTTCTGACTTTCAATCCTGCCTTGGACACTGTTTACGCCGGCTCACAGCAATTCGAACACGACTGTGTTTACGTAAGTGACTCACCAGTAACCATCCGATTCAGAAATGGATCTATTTTTTTGCGTTAACTCTTGTGGCATCCATAACATTAACGAAACAATGCTGTGCGACTGTCGCACTCGACGATTTCTAATATTCTTATCGATACTTTCGACAAATGGCCTTCTAGACATCAAAATTACATCAAAATTCCATCGACTAAGCGAATATTTCGCGTCATTGGCTGTTATAGTATCAATACCATAAACACTGTTCACATTTTCTGCCGCCAGAACTGTCAAATATTGAATATTTCTCTTTGAAAGATGGACACCAGATCTTTGACGCCTGTTCTAAGAATTCTCAGTCAAGCTCCCTTTACAGCCCTATAAGTCTTTTTAATACGAAATCTTATGTTTCTAACGCCATATAACGTAACGTAATGATCACACTTGTACAACGCACGATACAGTTTGACGCACGATAAAGTAATGCATTTCTGTTCACTAGACCTAATACATATCCTCGAAGATAATGTTTTCAAGCCATTAAAACATGATTGTGACAACTTATAATGACCATTTGGCTTTGGGATCCATGAAATTTTATTCCACGCTTAAGAATCAATAATCAGAGAAAGTGAAACAGTCGACGGAATCCGATATTGTCCGCCTACAAAAGTGCAAATAAGAGGTGAATTATCTCCCATTTTAAAAATATCCCGAAAGATGATTCTACTGATGAATGATGATTGCTTTTGAATGCAGCGAAAGGGTTGCTCTTCTGCGAATAAAATTTTCCACTTCGGTCTAAGGTAACTGGACCCGACTAGTTTCAAATCGCTTCATCGCATCATTTTCTAAAATTATTTCCTTGTCGTCTTCTTCAAAAAACTAGATAAGTGTTTTCTCCGTAAATGGTATTCCATTAGATGGACATAGGAAATGTGATTAAGAATCCTGCAAAGCAACTATAAAGTAGGATTTCTGTCTTCAGAGCAATTCCC